TAAAAAATAGTTTTATTAAAATTAGATAATGATAGATTTGTATCATATATTGACAAATTTATGATACATTTTTAATAGATTTGTGTAAGATTTTTTTTTCCATATGACCACAATATACTATCATTGTGGCAAAAAAGTGTAATAAAATTAGTAATAGATTTTATATTTTATGATAAAATGTAACAAGAAATAATGATAGAATTAGTAAAGAATTTCACATGGATGACAAAAAATTGTGATGGATTTAGTGATAATATATAAAAGTTGTGATAGAATATTGTAATAGATTTTTTAATATTGTGATAGAATATTATGACAGAATATTGTGATAATTTTTAAATTTTAATATTTTTAAAAAACAAAAAATATTTTAAATATTTTAAAATATTTTTTATATTAGAGAGATTAAATTTCAAAACTTATGATAGCATATAGACTAAATTTTAAATTTTGTATTAGTACAGAAACTAAATTTCAAATTTCATGTGAGTATAGATACGATTTGTATAATTTAATAACTAATTTCATCTATCTGAATTGTCAAGTTAGCAAATTAATATTACATTAGTAAAATTAATATCTATATCATCAAGTTAACACTTACATCAACATTTTTAACAAAAAAAAATTAATAATTGAATTAAAATTATCAAATCAAAATAATAAAAAACTAAATTTATATAAAAAATTAAATTTTAAGTTTTTGTAAAATATAAAAACCTCATAAATAATTTAACCTTAAATCTTTTATCGTACGAAACATAATTCAATGCGGAATCTAATCCCATGAAACCCAAGAAAATAAAGTTGTGTCGTAATGGTTCTGGGATCGCCAGACGTAAAAGAGTTTTAAAATCAAAGTAAATGGAAGGGGAGTTGCCACCAATCTTTGTTAGGGTGTGATTGATCACCCAAAAGTTTATTTTTTTAATAAAACTGTTAAAACGGGTTTAAAGTTTATCTAAAAGATAAATTTTGGTCTACGAAAATCAGGTTAGGTTCGGGAGTCGATTACGTGTGGGGAAGGATTAGCACCCCCACAACGCCCATAAATTGGTACCATTTAATTATGCGCTATTTTCGGTGTTGGATAAAAATGGTTTTGACTTGAAATTTAATACTAATTCCCTTCGTTTTAAAAAATATTTTTGCTAAAATTTTTATTTAGAAATATTGAGAAAATCTTTAAGTTAAAGAATTATCTTAAAATTCTCCAACATCTAGGCAGAATTTAAAATAACTCTTTTCGGTTAAGATTTAACACAATAATCCTTAAAATGAAATAACACTCTTTATAGAAAATTGTTGGTGACTCTTCAACATCTAGGTAGAGTACCAAAAATTATTTCTTTCGAAATATTATTTTTATTTTATTTTGTAATATCACAAAATTTTTTAAAAGTATTATTCTTTTTTTATTATAAAAAATTTATCACCAAGTAGTAAATAAAAATAAAAGACAGAACAGTACAAATAATTATTGATAATAACATGCTAACGTATGTATGCCAATGAATGTTATGTAGGATGAGATGCAATTTAAAAGTTGGATTCTTAAGTATAATGAGGCCACCCTGACTCTCCAACATCTAGGCAAAGCTTAGGTGCGACTGTTTATATTTAAGATCTCAATTTATTGTTATACTTTTTATTTATTAATCTTATTATTAATACGAATTAAGAAATCGTGTGAAAAGACTTAACGAAGTACAATTTCCTAAATACCCTATCATCTAGGCGACATTCGGGAACAAATTGCTTCAAATGAAATTTTTACACGTGTCCTTAGGATTTTTAAGATGTTTTGAGTAAGAGCTTGGGTAGAGGTTTTCAAGGTTAGGGTTTCAAGATTTTGAAGATTCGGATTTTAAGGGTTTGGATTTAAGTTTTGAGGGTTTTAGGGTTTGGTTTTAAGGTATGGAATGTTTAAGGTTTTGATTTTAGAGTTTGAAGATTTTAGGGTTTCGGTTTTAAAATTTAAGGTTTGGGGTTTTGATTTAAGGGTTTAAATTTTAGGGGTTTGGATTTAAGAGTTTAAAGGTTTGGGATTTCAGATTTTAGGGGGTTTTGGATTTTAGGGGGGTTTGAATTTGAGGGTTTTTGGATTTTTAGGAGTTTCGGATTTTAGGATTTAGGATTTTTGGATTTAGGATTTTTGGGGTTTTAGAAACCTAGGATTTTGAAAATTAAAAATTAGTGTTTAAGGTTTCGTTTTTAAGAAAATATGAATATCTCTAAAAATTTTCAACATCTAGGCAGATTTTCGGAACAAGTTCGATTTTAGTAATTTTTGAAAATTAATTTAAGAAACATAAATTTTTTTTATATTTAAAAAATTTTTTTAAATCCTTTTTATGAAAACTTATTATCAAAATTATTAACTTGTTTAGTATTTTTATAATAATAATTCTTTAGGCGAAATTATTTTTAAGAAAACATCTAGGCAGAAAAAATAATAATAATTATTCAATTATTGTTTTTACTTTTTAAATATTTTTAATATATATTTTTAATCATTATCTATTATTTTCATTTTTTATTATTATTAAAATAATTAAAAAAATTTATCCTAACAAATTTAAAACTTATCATGCTTGAATATATATAAAAAAAATACTTAAAATAACAAAAATAATAATATATAAAAAAATTAGAAAATTCAAAAATATTTTTTTTTACCTAAATCGGACCGGTCAACGATCTGGTTAACGATGGTTTGGTTGGACCGAAAAGGGGTCGGTTCGACGCACGGTTCGGTTGAGCCGGTTGAGGAACGGTTCGGACCGATCTAAAGAGCGGTTCGGACCGATCTAAAGAGCGGTTCGGTCTGGCTCAATTGGACCGGTTAGCAGCCATGGAAAAGAATAGGTCAACAGGTCGGGTTGCGTGGATCCCGGGTTAGATTCGGGTTAATGCGCGGATCCTCCTTGACCTAAACGATGTCGTTTTGGGTTATAATTTTCTATATAAATTTTTTTTTGTTCAGCTCATTTTCCTTTTGTTTTAGAAAAAAAAGAGAGAGAGCTCTGGGCTCTTGCCGTTCGGTCACTGGAACGCTGCACCGGCCATCGCCTGGTTCACCGTTGGCGGTGGTCGTCGGTGGTCGAAAACTTCAAAACTGACCAGGAGGTTTCGTTCAACCTCCTGAGCTCAGATCTGATGCTCATTTCGTCGAAAACGACCTTGATTCGATTAAATCGGGTTTTGAAGTTTTCGGTATTCTTTTCTTTCTTTTTTTTTTTTCGAAAACTAACTGATACCCTTCTTTCTTGGTGCCGGTGACTCGACGATGGGTTCCTCCCTACGGGGAGGACTGTGTTTTGTTTTTTTTTTGTATTTTTATAGATTTGTTTGGGTATTTGGGGGTTGTTCGTGTTTTTTTCTTTTTTTGTGTCTGAGAGGTTTTTGATAGGGGTGGAATGTGCGTATTTCTGGTGTTGTCGAGTGAGGGGTGTCCGAGAGTTTTAAAAGAGAGATATCAAGTATTTTATAAGGTTAGAAACGGTGGTTGTGTGTGCTGATTGAGTGAAGTGACTGGACGAGGAGGTGGTATGATGGTTGGGGTAGTGGCAAGGCGTGGGTGGGCAGTGAGTACCGTGCATTAGCCCTTTCTAGTTTGTTTCTTCTTCTGTTTGGATTTTTTTTTTGTCTTCTTTTTTTTTGTAAAATTTTTTTTTAATTAATTAATTTTTTTAATTATAATTAAACAAATATTATTATTATTATTTTAAAAAAATATTATTATTAAAAAATATAGACCCGGATATCCGGTGTCTACAAGTAGGTGAGAAAGTTAATGTTGAAAAATAATTGAAAAAAGACAAAAATAAAGGGACAATAATTCAAAATTGCATTAATGATGCCATGTCCCACGCATCAATAATTCTTCAAAAATTGGTACGAGCACAAAAAAATACTGGCGTGAATTAAACGCATTGCTCCCAATTGTCAAGAAAAGGACATGATGCTTGGCCCCTTGTTTAGTTGTCTTCCGCTAAGTAATTGAACAAGGAAAATGGTAATAATGATGATAAAAGAGAATCAAAGAAATTAAACAAGTCATCCGTGAAACTTTTCTTTGTAGTTTCAATAGGTCACAAAGATTTCAAGCAGAACTTCTCAATATTTGTGGATACTCGAAGCTTTCTGTTCTTTGAAACAAAGTTGGTTTTTACTTCAATTTTCTTTGAACTCAGAAAAAAGAAAATTGCGTGGATCGAAATAGAAAGCTCCATCTTGGATCCTGAACATTCATATTTTCTAGGTATATTTATCTTTTATTTTTGTTTTGTCTATCTCTCTACAATAAAAGTAACAAAAATAGTATTGCTGTATAATTTTTTGCTTTCTTTGCTTTCTATTTTGTTTCATGCTATATCTATTCTGATTTGCTCTTGACTTCAAAAAAAAAAAAAATCAATGTTTTTATAATTTTATTGTTGCTAATCTTTATTTCCTTTTTCTTTTAGTTGGTCCTTAATTCTCCTTTCCTAATGATCTCTGAAGTTGGTGATGTAAAAAATTCTCAGATCTTAATTTAGAAGGTCCATCCCCAATTAGGTATGCTTAAATAACTATTTTTATTTCCATAAATTTTTATATGCTCAAAAGTTGTTTACTTGTTTGTTTCCCTACCTTATTTAAATAAAAAACTGCATCTATAAGAAAAAAAAATGAAATAAATACATTTGTTTAAATATTGAGAAAATATTAGATGGATTAATGATCTAGCACATGTAACATATATTCTTAATATACGCATGAACACTGAATAATTTCTAACATCTGCAGAAATTTCATTTAAAAAATTTCATGTAAATTTTGTTTTTTAAATAAAAACTGTGTTTTTAAGGAAAAAATGGAATGAATAGATTTATTTAAAAATTGCTAAAATATTTGATAGAATCATCTTAATATATACCATGCCTTTAACACATGTATGATATATTCTTAATATATATGCCCACGAACACTGAAGAATTTCTATCATCCGCAGAAATTTCAATTTTCAAGTTGATCCATCAACAATCGTTTCTGTTTCTTACTGCAATGGATTAGAGCAAGTCTTTGATTTTCCCAAAGAAATTGGTGAGCTTGAGGTACCTCCATTTCTCCATTTCTCTTACTTGTTCTTTTGCCCTATTAGACAAAATAGCTAAAAGAATAAATGGATAGGGAGCTGAGATGGGGAATCCTGCATTTGTGCGAAAATTTTATTTATAACTATCAATTATCAAATAATTGTTACCTTATAAAAGAATAGAAAATTTTATTATAAGATTTTAATTTTGATAAATTACTATAAGCAGTGCAGTTTCACAGTTGTCTAATTATCTTCCACTGAAGCTTTGAACCAGGAAAATGGTAATAATAATGATAAAAGAGAATCCAAAGAAATTAAACAATCTTTCGTGAAACTTTTTTTTTTTCGTTTCGAAAGGTCACAAAGATTTCAAGTAGAACTTCTTAATATTTGTGGATACTTGAAGCTCTTTTTTCATTTGAAACAAAGTTGGTTTCTACTTCATTTTTCTTTGAACTAAAAAAAACATTTTGTGTGGATCGAAATAAAAAGCTCCATCTTGGATCTTGAAATTTCATATTTCCTAGGTATATTTATTTTTTTTCTGCTTGTCTTCCTACAATAAAACTAACAAAAATAGTATTGATGTATAAATTTTTTGCTTTTTTTTTTAATTTCTATTTTCTATTTTATTTCATGCTATATCTATTGTGATTTGCTTTTAACTCAAAAAAAAAAAAAGAAAAAAATAATTAATGTTCTTATAATTTTTTTGCTGCTAATCTTTAGTTCGTTTTTCTTTTAATTTCTATTAAGGTTGGTCCTTAATTCTCCTTTCTTAATGATTTGTGGAGTTGGTGATGTAGAAACGTCCACAAAACTTAATTTAGAAGGTCCATCCCAACTAGGTGTGCTTAAATAATTATTTTTATGGATTAATATTTCATATACATAGTGTATCATTTTTATACACTGTCAGTGAATAATACAAAATATCTCATTAATGAATAAAATTTTAAATTTTAAATCCTTAAAAATAAATATTAATAAATTTATTTAAAATTAATTAATTAAAATTAAAACTTTTCTCTTCTTTGTCACCTCTCTCTGCATTTACTGCATACTTTCTTTTCTACTCTTTCTCTGTCTCTGCACGAGGGCACAGGCACACAGACAAGTTGGTTGAACTCTACTCTCTTTCAATTGAAAAGATTCCGTTCTCATCTGTCCGCTTCGTTTCGGAGCCTATTCCAAGTCTTGCAATTCGCATTCATTTCCACTGGGGAGTTCCCTCTGGTGCTCATTCCATTCAATTCGAAACACAGCCGGCTTAGCGTCCTTACTTGCCCTGCCAACAATGACCTTTGAAAAATTGGGTTCTATCCAGCCATAGGTGCTTGCTTTATAGCCTATATGTAGTTGTAGACCCGAAATTGACTAACGAAGGACTGTCGAAGGTGAGGCAAAAGACACTTTTGCACGTTCTATCTGATCCAGTTTTCTTTTGACTATCACGGGCAACTGGCAAAGCCGTCTTTGATCGTCGCATGTTTCGAGTTGGAAAGATAAGAAGAGCTTGACCGATCCATTCAGAAGGGAAGAAGCACACTGGGTTAATTAATTAAAATTAAAATTTTTCTCTTCTTTGTCACCTCCCTCTGCAGTTACTGCCTTCTTCTTTTTATTTTCTAATTCTTTTTACTTGATTTTAATTCTCTTATCTTCGTCTCATCAGATTCTGCTTTGTCATTTTTGGATTTGTAGAAAGATCAATGACACATCCCATATCTTTATTAATATTTATTTTTAAAGACTTAAAATTTAAAATTTTATTTATTAATGAGGTATCATTATATTCTTTACTGACAATGTATAAAAATAATACACTATCAGTTTATAAAATATTAATCCTATTTTTATTTCCATAATTTTTTATATGCTCAAAAGTTGTTTTCTTGTTTATTTCCCCTCCTTATTTAAACAAAAAACTGCATTTATAAGGAAAAAAGTGAAATAAATAGATTTATTTAAAATTTGAGAAAATATTAGATAGACTAATGATCTAGCACATGTAACATATATTCTTAATATACGCATGAACACTGAATAATTTCTACCATCTGTAGAAATTTCAATTTCCAAGTTGATCCATCAACAATTTGTTCTATTCTACTTCACAATTGGTTCCCAAAGTAAATAAGGTACTTTTTAAACATTCACAATTGCTTTTGTCTATCTAGCTGTTTATATGATTACTAATCATTAAAGTTGTTTTTCAACCTCAGATCCTCAAAGAATGGCAGCTGAATGTGCTACCGGTGTTTTTACCAATTGTGCGGGAAACCTTGCAGCAGAACATGCATCACCTTATGTTAGTTACTTTTTCCGATTTGGAAAAATTGTTGAAGAATTCAAGAATCGGAGAAAAGAACTTGAATTGAAAAAAGATCGGGTAAAAAATGATGTTGATGAGGCTGTAAGGCAAACTGAGGAAATTGAGAAGGACGTCCAGAACTGGCTAATTAGAGCAGAGAAAGAACTGGAAGAAACCCAGAGTTTGGAAGCTGAAATAGAACGTAACAAGTGTTTCAACTGGTGTCCTAGTTGGGGTTGGCGATGCTGCTTAAGTAGGAAAATGGCAAAGAAGACGATCTCTATCAATAAACTTCTTGATAGTTCTAACTTTCCACGGATGGGCTACCGTGCTCCTCTTCAAGGAATAGAATTCCTCCCCTCTAAAGATTTCATGCCTAATGAGTCTTCAAAATTTACTTTCAATGAGATCATCAAGGTTCTAAATACCGATGGTGTGAACATGATTGGATTGTATGGAATGCCAGGGGTGGGCAAAACAACTTTGGCAAAAGAAGTTGGGAAGCACGCTAAAGCACAAAAGCTCTTTGATAATGTTCTGATGGTTACAATGTCCCAAACTCCAAACATCAGCAATATTCAAGATAAAATTGCTGCCTTACTGGGTTTAAAATTTCAAACAAGTATGGAAGATTTAAGAGCAGAAGAGTTACACGGTAGATTGAAAGCCGTGAAGAAGATTCTCATAATTATTGATGATGTTTGGAGGGATTTTGAATTGCAGGATATAGGTATTCCATTCGGTGTTGAACACAAGGGTTGCAAAATTCTTCTGACTACACGTGGTGCAGATGTCTGTGATCGAATGAAGTGTCGAGAGAAATTTCAACTCCAAATTTTATCCGAAGATGAAGCATGGGATTTATTCAAAGATAATGCTGGTCTAAAAGATGTTTCTTCGACATTAAATGATGTAGCCAAGGAGGTTGCTCGTGAATGTAAGGGTTTGCCTCTTGCAATTGTAGTAATCGCAAAAGCTCTAAACGGTGCAGATCTAGATGAGTGGAAAGCAGCAAATCAGCGACTCAAGGACTCAAGACATTTAGACAATGAAGATGTTTGTGAAGGTTTGTACAACCGCCTCAAGCTTAGTTATGATCATTTGAAGGGAGACAACATTCGATTATGTTTCTTGTTGTGTTCCCTTTTTCCAGAAGACTTTCAAATTGGTCTTGGGTGGTTGATTATGTTTGGAATTGGTTATGGATTATTTTCTAATGTTCGTCCAATGCAGTACTTCCGAACGGAAATTTGTGCCGCACTAAGAAAACTCCAAAAGTCTGGTTTGTTGTTGAAAGTTGATGTTCGTGAAGGTGCTTATGATAATGATGTTCGTGAAGGTGCTTATGATAATGAAATCTATGTAAGCATGCATGACGTGGTTCGTGACTTTGCTCATTGGATAACATTGAGAGAGGAAAATATTTTCATGGTAAAAGAGGGGTTAACGGAGTGGCCAATAAGTCAAAGTTTTGGATGCCATACAGCAATCTCCTTTTGGGACTGCAACATAAATATTTTTCCTGAAAAATTGGAATTTCCAAAACTCAAAATTTTGATTTTTACAGGATGGACTTTAGTGAAAGTTCCGGTTGCATTTGTTAAAGGAATGAAAGCCCTTCAAGTTTTACATATGAGAAATGTCATTTTCTCACTAGAAGTACTTAAATTTATAGCAAATCTTCGGACTCTTTGCTTTGAAGATTGTGAGCTCGAGAGCATCTCATCATTGAGAAATATGGAAAATCTTGAGATTCTTGCATTTTCTGATACTAATATTTATGAGCTACCTAAGGAATTAGTAGCATTGCATGAACTAAAATCGCTTCATTTTTCTCACTCTGGAAGCAAACAGATCAATTTTCCCCCTAACTTGCTATCAAGGTAATAGTAGATGCAATCATTTTTTTTATCATATTGCTCAAAATTAAGTATTTAGTTTTATATTATTTTTTTTATTTAGTTTATTAAGTAATTTGATTTTAGACAATGGGAAACATATCTACTATAAGCTTTTGATCACTCCCATTATTATGAAGCATTCAAAGCTGTAGTACTTTTTATTTTTAAAAAATGCTAGTATACAACATGATTGTCACATGAATTACGAAATAGTCAAAAAATGCTCAAACCCTTTTTTATAAGAAAAGGGGCTGAGAAATCATGCTATATTTGCTGAGATAATTAAAATTAATTTATGTTTACTTCTATTTTTATGATTCACATGAAGTGTTTGATAACAGTTTTTGTATTTGTGTAACAAACAGGTTGACATCACTCCAAGAGCTACACGTGACATGTGAAAACAATGTTAACTTATTGGAGCTGAATTCATTGTCTCGTTTAACTGCACTGTCACTGAGAGTTTCTACTGCTCAATGTTTTCCAGAAAACTTTGTGTTCCCTAAACTACAAAGCTACATTATAGCTGCAAATGAAAATCTTCAATTTATGCAGGGGCTAAAATTGAGAACCTTGAACATCGGAAGTTTCTCATATTCATTAAGTGCATTCAAGGAATTGTTTTGCAATGTGGAAAAGTTGAATCTGGAGAATGTCAAGGGACACAAAAATATTGTCCCAAATGTAGATCCAAAGGGCCTAAATGGATTAACTTCTCTTCATCTTGGAGATTGGGATGATATGGAATGCTTGATGGATACAGCAGGAGAGAAAGGACCAACCACTGCATTCTCTAATTTGGAGAAATTAAGAATGATGGCAATGACTTGTTTGAAAGAGTTGTGCCATGGTCCACCTCCGATTAGCTTCTTACAAAAGTTAAACGATGTAACCATTTTTTATTGTAAGCAGTTGAAAGTAGTATTTGAAATGGATGGACTTCTTGAAAAGGGAGAAATTAGTCAGACGCCGCTATTTTCAAATTTAACAAGTTTGAGTCTAGATTCTTTACCAGAATTGGAGAGTATATGGAAATTACAATCAGCCCATCAATATCATGCAAGCCTCCAAAGTCTAAAGGTTGTAAACATTTGGAAGTGCGGTGAATTGAAATCCACCTTCCCTCCTTACCTTGCTCAAAGTTTGTTGCATCTACAACAACTCGAAATATCTGAGTGCGATAGATTAGAGCAAGTCTTTGATTTTTTCCAAGAAATGAGTGAGTTTCAGGTATTTTTTCTCTTTCCATTTCTCCTTTACAAAATAATGAGAAATTACTAAATTTTATATATTTGATCATATAATTAACTTCTGTTTAAGTTTAAAAGAAAGAAAGTTTAATTAAATTATATTAGTAACTAATCTAAATGTATATTTATTGCATGACTTGCAGGTTGAGAAAACTTACATTATACATCTTTTTTTTTCGTTATTAACACACATTATAAAATCATTGTATTTTTTCTTTTTTTTTTATTCTTTATTTAATAATATATTATTCAATAACTATTATTATTACCTTTGTATGTACGTCTTGTCCAGATATTTATTTACATTTTCAATCAATGAATTGTCAGGTACAGCCACTCTCCAATTTAACTTCTTTGGAGCTAGTGTCATTGCCAGAACTGAAGTGGATATGGAAAGGACCCACCCATCTTGTTAAACTCCAAAGTCTTAAGACTATGAGCATACAGAAGTGTTTGAAGCTGGCATATCTCTTTCCAACTCCCCTTGCTCATAGTTTGTTGCATCTGCAACAACTCTCCGTACAATTATGTGAAGGATTAGAGCAAATCTTTAATTTTTCTCAAGAAATGGTTGAGCTTGAGGTACCTTTTCTTTTTCTATTTCTCTTTTAATAAATAGTAAGAAAATATTAAATTTTATGTATTCTTCATATAATTAACTTTTGTTTAAGTTTGAAAGAAAGAAAGTTTAATTAAATTATATTAGTAATTAATTTAAATGTTTATTTATTACATAGCTTACAGGTTGAGAAAACTACCGTCATGTATCTTTTTTTCCTCTTTATTAACACACTTTATAAAGTCATTGTATTTTTTCTCTTTTTTTTATTCTTTATTTAATAATATATTATTCAATAATTATTATTATTACCTTTGTATGTATGTCTTGTCAATATATTTATATACATTTTCAATCAATGAATTCATGTCAGGTACGCCCACTCTCTGATTTAACTTATTTGAAGCTATACGCATTACCAGAATTGAAGTGGATATGGAAAGGGCCCACCCATCTTGTTAAACTCCAAAGTCTGAAGACTATGAGAATAGAGAAGTGTTCGAAGCTGGTATATCTCTTTCCAACTCCCCTTGCTCAAAGTTTGGTGCATTTGGAAGAACTCAAAATAAGCCATTGCGACTCAATGGAACATATAATCTTTGGAGAAGCAGAAAATGAGGATGAGATAGTTTCAAACAAAGATGGTTGTCCTCTCTGTTGGCCTAAGTTGAGAACTCTCAAGATAATTAATTGCGAAAGATTAAAATATGTGTTTCCAATCACTTTGGCTCAAGGACTTCCATATTTGGAATCTATTCAGATAACTGATTGTTCTCAACTAGAGCATGTCTTCGACGTGACAAAGGACAAGGATGGACGTCCACCACAAGACATTGTGCTACAGAGATTACAAATTTTAAGACTTAAAAATTTAGAGAAGTTGAATAGTTTTTGTTCAGAAAATTCTGTCATGTCGTTATCTTTAAAGGAGATCGAAGTTAGCAATTGTCTTCAATTGACTGACCGAGGAATTAAGACGTTGCAGGCTTATTTAAAGGTACTTCTTTTAGACTGTCGTTTTATTTCAATTTTGTTTATTTTGGTAATAATTAATTGAATTATTTACCTCATAACGTAAGCGACAAATTTTAGTGCATTCACATCTACATGTAAGTGTATTATATAGTGTTATATATAATTAGCTTCTGTTGGATTTTAAAAGAAAAAAATTTAATTAAATGTATATTTATTACATAGCTTGCAGATTGAGAAAACTAACACTATATTGTTTTTTTTCTTTATTAACACACCTTATAAAATCTTTGTATTTTTTAATTATTTATATAATAATGTATTATTCAATAATTACTATTCTTGAATTTATAAAGCACCTAAATGGTGCGATTTGGGAAAGGGAAAAAATTTTTTAAAAAAAAAAGAAAAGAAGAAACGAAAAGGAGAAAAAGAAAAAAAGAAAAAATTTAGGAAGAAAAATAAGAAAAATAAGGAAAAAAGAAATGAAAAGAAAAGAAAGAAAAGGAAAAGTAAAATTATTTTAAAAGTTTAATATTTTATAATCTATTAGTATTAAAAATTAAATTAATAAAATTATTTTTATTTTTATTTTTTTCCCATATAATTTTATTCTTGTTTGCGATTTTTTTTTATTTTACTTTTACACACATCATTAATTTATAATTGTGTCCAATTTATATTCATATAAAAAATTTATGGATAAAAAAATATTTTTTATTCCTTGTCTTTATATTTAAAAATTATTGTATAATCATATTCTTATCTTGTTGTACTTGTATCACTTTTGTGCTTCTTATGTACTATTTATACTCAGTTTAATTTGGATTGTTTAAATTTCTACAGTAATGAACCTTTAGTGAAAAGCAAGGGATAAAAGAAATCTCATTATATGTTTCTAATTTTGCTGCTATTTCCTCTATATCAGGATGTTTCATTATATGGTTTCAAGGAATTGTTATGCAATGCCAAAAATCTTACAGCGGATGAAATCATATATCCCAAAAATCTCATTCCAAACGTAGATCCAGAGGGACTAAATGAATTAACTTTTCTTGCACTTAATCATGGCGAGGAGTTGGAATGCTTGATTGATACAACAGATCAAGGCCATGTCTCAACTGTTCCACTGCTGTCAAATTTAACAAGTTTGGAGCTGGAATCATTACCAGAATTGAAGTGGATATGGAAAGGGCCGAGCCATTATGTTTGCCTTCAAAGCCTCAAGGTTGCAGAAATTAGTCGCTGCAATAGATTGAAATATCTCTTCTCACCATCTCTTGCACAAAGCTTGGTGATGCTAGAACAACTCGAGATAGAATGCTGCGATGAACTGGAACACGTTGCCACTGAGTTGGAAAGTGATGATAATATAGAATCACATGGTGGGCTTGTCCATCCTCCGCTCTTGCCCAAATTGACTTCTCTTGGAATAAGTTACTGTCCAAGACTAGAATATGTTTTTCATATTCCATTGGCTCAAGTTGTTCCACAGTTGACGTTAGTTTCAATAACTAATTGTCCTCAGTTAAAACATGTCTTCAATGTGGCAAAAGAAAAGAATGGAGTTGATCATGCCATTGCGCTCCCTCACCTCCAACATCTAGAACTTGAAAACTTGATAAATTTGAGTAGCTTCTGCTCAGCAAACTATCCCATCGTTTCACCATTCTTGGAAGAGTTAATCCTTGTGGTCTGTCCTCAATTGGAAAATTTCATTATTCAACAAGCAATCCACAAACAGCTTCAACCAAAGGTATTTTTACACTCTTTTCCTTCTATTGTGGTTCAAAATGTTGCCTTTGGTCCATATCTTGTCTATGCTCATAAAATAATCATGTTTTGATTCTCTTTTCAAAAAGGGGTTTTTATATAAGTTTTACATTATAAAAATTAGAATAAATCATTCAAGACTTAAGTTCAACTCTCATATTTAACAATATTTTATGTTCAACTCATTCAAGACTTAGTTAAACTTGTATTTTTTTTTAAAATGTTCCGTTTAGTAATAGAAAAATAATAAAATAAGCTTTCTAACTATATTATAATCAATTTTTCGCTTAAGCCCTTAGTTATTGTGTACAATTTAGCCATCCTACATTTTTGTTTAATGAAACCCAATTTTGATGGAAAATTCAAATTGGTGGCATACATATAGGCAAACTTTGATGACATGACACTCATTGAGAACATTTAAATGACATTTCACTTGCTTATACAATAAATAGAATTTGAAAATCAATTAAACATATTTAATTTGTACTTTAGAATTAAACCTTGGAAATGACAATGGTATTTGTTTTACATATATATTAGTTTGCCATGCACAAGTTTTTTTATTATTTTCATAATTTAAATTTATTTTTAATCAACTTTAATATTTTATATTTCTTTACTAAAAAATATATAAATTTTATTTGATCAACTATATATAATTATACATTCTTAAATGCTAAGGTACGATTAAATGACAGTTTACACAAAATGTTGTTTAAAGTCTAATCTTTTACAAATTTTCAAAAAATTATGCAAACCTTTCCTTTTCATCAAAAAGTTATTTTTATTCAATTTATTTGCTAAAAATAAAAAAATTTTGCTGCTGTTTGATAAAAAGAAGAAGAAGAAGCAAGATTTAGTCTTTAAATAGTCAAGATTAATAATTATTTTTATGATAATGTTGATATGGATATAAAAAATATATCATTTTATTAAGTTGTAAAAAACAATTTTTATACTAGTAGAATATTCATAAACTATTAAATCTTATAAAGTTGAACAAAAAAAAATGTCAAATAATAATAATTTCTTATATATATTTGATTGAACAATAAAGCATAATTATTAATTTGGTTATAACCATTTGCTTTTTATTAGTTCTAATTTTTGACATATTTTAACATTTATAGTTGCTTTTTATTGGAGCATAAACCAAAGATAAATCTACCAAAAAAACTAAATATAGAGTTGAAATCTCTTAAAATTATGCATAGCAAATATTCAACTTAACTATATATATATATATAAAATATATAAATCAGATATTTTTTTTGAATAAATCAAATCTAAATGTATGCATTATATAGTAGAAGTAAGACCAAATGAAAAGTTTGAAGAAACTAACAAATGGTGGAAATAAAAAATAAAAAAAGAGGAATAACATATGGAAAAAAGTAGTGAACCCTATAATTGTTACCCAGTTGAAACCAATCCAAATGTATACCTATTTTCTTTCCATTAATGAAATCTGATAAAATAATTAACATCATTAAAACAAAAAATATATATATAAATTAAAAAAATAATCCAACACCATCACTTACTTATTTTTGCAATTAAAAAAATAAAATAAAAGAAAAATGAAAAATGAAGGCAAAAACGGACTTTCTTGTTCATAATATGATGTGTTTTACTCATCTTTTTAACTTTTGATCATTCCTATCGAAACTAATAAATCGTAACGGTCAAGTAAAAAGAAAAAGCTTGTATTCTTCAATTTCTATTTCTAATAATAATAAATAAAATAACTTTGGTTAAGGGGCAACGCTCTTATTTTATAAGCTTTTTATTTTTATTTTTAGATTTTGATTTTATTTGAAAAAAATTTATTAAGCGTATATATTTGAAACTATGATTAAATTTAAAAGAAAAAATAAATTATGATTTAATATATTTAAATTCAAATTTTATGTAAAATTTTCAATGGAGTTTGATTTGAACTTGAATAGTTATCCAAAAATATTAAATTTAGATAATTTATTAAATAGAATTATTTGACAACAGATAAAAATGTATTAAGCATATATATATTTGGAACTATGATTAAATTTAAAAATAAAAGATAAATTATGGTTTAATATATTAAATTCAACATTTATGTAAAATTTTCAATGTTTGATAGAGTTTGGTTTGAATTTAAATTAGTTATTCAAAAATATTAAATTTAGATCATTTATTATATAGAATTATTTGATAATAGATAAAAATCTATTAAGAATATGTATATTTGAAACTGTAATTAAATTTAAAAAGAAAAGATAAATTATGTTCTAATATATTTGAATTTAAAATTTATGCAAAATTTTTAATCTTTTATAGATTTTGATTTGAATTTAAATAATTAACAAAAAATATTAAATTTAAATAATTTATTAAATAGAGTTATTTGATCAATAATATAATAATATAACATTATTTTATGTATCATAAGAGAGATCATCTAGGTAAACGTACATATCAGCACATCTAATCTGATGATTTTGTATCTTATAATACATATTTATATTAGATTTTGTATTTTAGAAGTCATAAATTCTTTAACCATTGTAATTTATACAAATTTTAACGAAATTATGATATTTTTATATTTATACAGGAATTACGATTCTCTGAGTTGAGACAAGATAGCGTGTGTGATACTATTAATTGGGAGAAAATATTTCAAATTCAGAGTGGATATTTGTTCTCAAGAATAGAGATTTTAAATCTAGAAGGTATACATCAATTGCAGGGTCCCATCCAAGTTGCAAGCCTTTGTCATCTTAAAGACTTAATGGTGTCAAATTGTAATAGGCTGAAATCTCTCTTCTCTTCTATGCTTGCTCGAAATTTGCTGCAATTGCAATTTTTGCATATAAAGTGCTGTGGGGAGTTGGAAGAAATCATTGAAACGGACCAAACTTCAATTGCATCATCATCACATAGTCATCTCCAACCTCCATCCTTCCCTAGTCTTCAAAGCATATCGATTTTTGGGTGCAGCAATTTGAAAAGCTTGTTTCCTATCAGTGTCACTCGTTCGCTTTCAAACCTCCAGCATATGGACATTGAAAGGGCTTCTAAACTAGAGCAAGTCTTTGGGTATCAAGGTGAACTAAACATTGAAGATGATCAAAAGGGAATAGTGCTGCCTAAATTACAAGAATTGAATCTTTCTGAGCTATCAGGCCTAAAGAGTTTTTCTCCAATGGGTTATCATTTCCGATTCCCTATTTTGTATAGTTTTCACTTAACCAAATCTCCCCAGTTGACCACAGGTGTCAGCATGGATTCAAAACATCCTGTGCCTGCCATAACAGAGGTACCTAACTGACTTTTTTTCTAACTATTATGCTTAATTAATTAATTTGTTGTTTTTGATCATATTGATACTCGTGATGTAACGATGATGGAAACAAAAGTTATGTTAGTATAGAACTACAAATTATTATGAAATGGATGACTCTTTTATATACACACGTCATATGCATAATTAATTAATTAATTAATTCTAGCATAACTTAATGAGAATTGTCTTTTGTTGTGAAGGAACCCCAACAAGTTCAGAATAATACAACAGAAGGTTTCACTACAATAGAAGAAATAGTTGATAATCAATCCACCTGCAATGATATATCATGGGTTGGCCTGCCAGATGGAATGCCTCTATATATGACTGTGGGAAAAACAAGGATAACGGTACAAGAGGAAGTGAAAAATTCAGGAGAAACTTGTTAGCTAAGCAGGTAAATATTGCTTTTTTCCATGTACAGTGGCGGATTTACATGGTATTGTGGGGTGTCCATTGAAAAACAAAAAAAATAATAATAATAAAGGAAAATTTTGTGTTGATACCCTTAAAATTTTTTCCAAACATCTAAAAATTAGAAAATAAAAAAAAATCTAAAGGAAAATTTTTCATGAACATCCAAATTCTTCTGAACACCATTTTGATAGATAAAATTAATAAATCTGTTGATGGTGTTTTATATATTATAAGCAAACACACACCCTGACAAAAATCTTGAATTCACCTTTGTCTATGTATTTATGATTTCTTAATCAAGTTTCTTGTTTAAATTCTTATTGATTCTTTACTTCAATGATAGGTGGTTAATACTTGATTGTGCTTATCATCCATTGAGCTTCATGTTTTATGGCGCCATTAACTGCTTGGATCTCTGCTTTTTCAGTTTTACTTGGCAGTGAATAATTAATTTACTCTACGTTGCATTGCATTTGCTTGCTTGTTTGATATTGTAAAATAAAGCCATGTTTAGCCATTCATTTAAGACAAATTTCATGCATTTTTTTTTATATATTAGGACTTGAACTCAAGCTTGCATGTCTGACAAATCCTCTCTTCTTATATCTTGGCCAAGAGATTGTTGGCAAAATTCATGTATTGTTTAAGAAATATGGTTTTTTGTGTTCAATTTGGTTTGCTGGTTCTTTATTAGTTCCTTGTAGCAGATTGTATGGATGAGTAGTACATAGTTATTTCTACAAGCATGTCATGATGGTTTTCCATGCTTGTTTTATTATGGTGATTTAATAATTAATTCAATGATATGTTATTTATACGCAATGTTATATGAACTCGTGTGATAGGACATTGAAAGTGAATAAATTTTGTTTTTACAATTTTTATAGTAATTTTGAAAATTAAAGTATCCTATACATATGAACATTAAAATGTTAAAAAGTATCAAGACCATATGGGTACATTAAAATATAATGAACCAAATATCGTAACGGTTTTGGGACCGTCAGACGTAAAGAACTTTAAAATAAAAAAAAATAGGGAGTTGCCACCAATCTTTGTTAAGGTGTGATTGGTCACCCAAAAGTTTTTTTTTTAATAAAGTTATAAAGTTGGTTTAAAGTTTATCAAAAAGATAAATTTCGATCCGCGAAAAATCAAGTTAAGTTTGAGAGTCGGTTACGCATGCCCATAAATTGGTACTAATTAATCATGCGCTGTTAGATGAAATAGTTTTAACTTAAAATTTAATAATATCCCTTCATTTTACAAAAAATAAAATTTTGCTAAAATCTTTTATTTAGGAATTTTGAGAAATCTTCAAGTTAAAGAATTATCTTAAAATTCTTCAATATCTAGGCATAATTTAAAATAACTCTTTTTCGCTTAAGATTTAACACAACAGTCTTTAAAATAAAATAACACTCTTTATAGATGATAATTTTTGGTGACTCTCCAACATTTAGGTAGAGTACCAAGAATTATTTTCTTTGAAATGTTATTTTCGTTTTAGTTTATAATATCACAAATTTTGAAAAAAATACATTGTCCCTTTTTAATATAAAACATTTTATCATCAAGTAATAAATAAAAATTAAAGATAGAAGAATGCAAATAATTGCCTATGATAACATGCTAAAGTATGTATGCCAATGAATGTTATGTAAGATGAAATGCAATTTTAAAGTTGGGCTCTTAAGTATAATGAGACCACCCTGATTCTCCAATATCTAGGCAGAGCTTAGGTGCAACTGTTTATACTTAAGAGTCCAATTTACTATTATACATTTTATTCATTAATTTCATTATTAATGCGAATTAAGAATTCGTATGAAAAAATTTAATGAAATAAAAATTTCTAAATACCCTATCATCTAAGCAGCATTTGGGAACAAATCATTTCATATGAGATTTTCACATGTATCCTTAAAGTTTCAAAATGATTTTAAGTTAAAGAAAACGCGAACATCTCTAAAAATCTCCAACATCTAGGCGAACTTTCGAAGCAAGTTCAATTTTTATGAATTTCAAAAATTAACATTTTTGTTATAAAGAGTTTATATTAAAAAAATATTTTTTTTATAAAAATTCTCAACATCTAGGTAAAATTATCATTATTTAAAGCATGATTGTATTCCTTCCAACATCTAGACTAAGAAAAGTTTTATTTTTATTATTATTATTTTATACATATTTTATATTTTTATTTAATAATTGGATTATTAAAAAGTATTAAAAAGAACTTAAAAGTTTTAAAATCATTTGAATTATTGTTATAGTTATTGTCATTTAATCATTATTATTGTTAATTACTATAAAAAAATATTTATTTTAATAAACTCTAAAAGTTTTAAAACAAGCATGAATAACAATAATAATAATGTTAAAAATGATATAAATAAATAATATATAACAATAAAAATAACAAAAAATTTTTTTACTTGAACCAGACCGATCAAGATCCAATCAATACTAGTTCGGTTGGGCCGAAAATAGAGGCAGTTTGACAAGCGGTTCGGTTGGGCCGGTTTAAGGGCAGTTCAGTTGAGCCTGTCCAAAGTTGGTTGAAGGATGGGTTTTAGGGTCAGGTCACGCGGATCTCGGGTCTGGTTCGGGTCCACACGTGGATCTTTTTGGTCTAAACAATGTTGTTTTGGGCTTTAGTTTTCTATATAAAGCCAAAATTTTTTTTACTCCATTTCAAACCTTTCAGCCTAAAAAAAAGGTTCCCCAGCCTCTAAAATTCTCTCTGGCTCCGGGCAAGATCCGGTGCCACAGTAACAGTCGTCTGAGTCATCGTCGGTGGTTGTCGCCGGTGATCGCCAATGACAAAAAAATTTAAAATTCATCGAAATGCTCTTTTCGACCTACTGAGCTCAGATCCATTATCCTTTTCATGAGAAATAGCCCCGATCTTTGTAGATCGGGGTTTGAAGTCTTTTTTTTTCTTGGAGATTAACTAATGATCCTTTTTTTTTCTTTGGTGTAGGTGGCTTTGGCACTGAGGCTCCTCCCTACAAGGAGAATTGTGTTTTGTTTTGTTTTTTTTTTTTGTTTCTGTGCATCTGTTTTGGGTTTTTTTTTTGTTTTTTTATAGGTAGGGATAGGGGAGTGTTTGGGTTTCTAAGAATGATTCTAAACTTTTGGGTGTGGGAGTTTTGTGTTTTTTGGGAATGGAGATGTGTTTAAAAGAGGCTTAAAAGGGAAAGGTTGGGTGCTTTATAGGGTTGGGAATGGTGGTGGTCGGTAAAGCATACATCTGGCGAGGTATGGGTGCGATGGTAGGGTAAGGTTGGTGGTTCTGAGCAATTGGGGCAAGTAAGGTGCAGAGGCTCTAATGGGATTGGGGATGGTAGTGACAGGGCGTGGGAATAGGTTGGTGCCATGCACGGCACCATGCTTGTCCTTGTCCCAACTTTTTTTTTTTTAATAAGTTTAACTTTTTTTTAATTTTAATTAAACTAATATTATTATTATTATTATTATTATTATTATTATTATTATTATTATTATTATTATACAAAAAATTGAAAATGGTAGACCTGGACAAGATTCGATGTCTACAGCTAGTTCGGTTGGGCTGAAAATAGAGGCAATTTGACAAGCGGTTCGGTTGGGCCGGTTCAAGGGTAGTTCAGTTGAGCCTGTCCAAAGCTGGTTGAAGGATGGGTTATAGGGTTGGGTCACGCGGATCTCGGGTTTGGTTCAGGTCCACGCGCGGATCTCTTTGGTCTAAACAACATCGTTTTGGGCTTTAGTTTTCTATATAAAGCCAAAATTTTTTTTACTCCATTTCAAACCTTTCAGCCTAAAAAAAAAGTTCCCCAGCCTCTAAAATTCTCTCTGGCTCCAGGCAAGATCCGGTGCCACACTAACAGTCGTCTGAGTCACCATCGATGGTTGTCGTCGGTGATCGTCGGTGATCGCCAGTGGCAAAAAAATTTTAAAATTCATCAAAATGTTTTTTCGACCTACTGAGCTTAGATCCATTATCCTTTTAATGAGAAATAGCCCCGATCTATGTAGATCGAGGTTTAAAGTCTTTTTTTTCTTGGAGATTAACTAATGATCCTTTTTTTTTCTTTGGTGTAGGTGGCTTTGGCACTGAGGCTCCTTCCTACAGGGAGAATTGCATTTTGTTTTGTTTTTTTTTTTGTTTCTGTGGATCTGTTTTGGGTTTTTTTTTTGTTTTTGATAGGTGGGGATAGGGGAGTGTTTGGGGTTTTGAGAATGATTCTAAACTTTTGGGTGTGGGAGTTTTGTGTTTTTTGGGAATGGAGATGTGTTTGAGAGAGGCTTAAAAGGGAAAGGTTGGGTGCTTTATAGGGTTGGGAATGGTGGTGGTCGGTAAAGCATACATCTGGCGAGGTATGGGTGCGATGGCATGGTAAGGTTGGTGGTTCTGAGCAATTGGGGCAGGTAAGGTGCAGAGGCTCTAATGGGATTGGGGATGGTAGTGACAGGGCGTGGGAACAGGTTGGTGCCATGCACGGCACCATGTTTGTCCTTGTCCCAACTTTCTTTTTTCTTTTAATAAGTTTTGTAATAACTTTTTTTTTAAATTTTAATTAAACCAATATTATTATTATTATTATTATTATTATTATTATTATTATTATTATTATTATTATACAAAAAATTGAAAATGGTAGACCTGCTTGTCCTTGTCCCAACTTTCTTTTTTTTTTAATAAGTTTTGTAATAACTTTTTTTTAAATTTTTATTAAACCAATATTATTACTACTACTATTATTATTATTATTATTATTATTATTATTATTATTATTATTATTATTATACAAAAAATTGAAAATGGTAGACCTGGACAAAATTCGATGTCTACAGCTGTCCCTCTTTGCATGTTACTGAGAATCAGTAATAAGGCAAAGACAAAGACAACGATTTTGTTCGAAGCTAACTAGATGACTTTCCTAACTTTTGGTTTCTTTTTTTTTTTTTAGGAGATTAACTATAGATTAAGTGAAAAAGAATGATTGAGATGATAACGCAAAGTAAAAAATAATGATAGAGATAGAATGATTGGGGTTAAAATGTGAGTAAGAAGAAAAAAATGACAACTGGATTTGAACCACAAGTCAAGAAAAAAGAAACAATTGGGATTAAATTGTAAGTCAGAGATTCATGATGAGTGAGATTGAATTGCAAGTTAGAAAAAATAAAAATGACTGGGATTAAACCACAAGTCAAGAAAAATAAAAATGACTGGGATTGAACCACAGTTTGAAAAATAAAATCAACTGGGATTAAATCGCAAGTCAGATATTATAAAAATGACTAGGATTAAATCACGAGTCAGAGATTAAACGACTGGGACTGGACTGCAAGTCAAAAAAATAAAAATGATTGAGATTAAACCGCAAGTCAGAGATTATAGAAATGACCAAGATTAAACCACAAGTTAGAGATTAATGGCAACTGGGACTAAACCGCAAGTTAGAAAAGTGATTGGGATTAAACCGCAAGTCAAAAGAATAAAGAAATGACTGGGATTAAACCATGAGTTAGAGATTAATGACAACTGGGACTGAACCGTAAGTCAGAAAAGTGACTGGGATTAAATCGCAAGTTAGAAAAATAAAGAAATGATCGAGATTAAACCATGAGCCAGAGATTAATGATGACTAGGACTGAACTGCAAGTCAGAAAAATAAAAAGTGACTGAGACTAAAACGTAGGTTAGAAGAATAAAGAAGTGATCAGGATTAAACAACGAGTCAAAGACTAATGACAACTGGGACTGAACTGTGAGTCAAAAACTGACTAAGATTAAATCGAAAGTCAGAAGAATAAAGAAATGACCAGGATTAAACCACGAGTCAAAGATTAATGACAACTAGGATTGAACTATAAGTCAGAAAAGTGACTGGGATTAAATCACAAATCAAAAGAATGAAGAAATG